GAATAGAACAAGCCCGAGCTGCCTTTGTAAAAATGAGAAACGTACTTTGCAGTCATGATCTTAGCATTGACCTTAGAGTTCGTATGATATCTTGCTACATCTTTCCTGTCCTGCTGTATGGAGTAGAAGCGTGGACCCTAACTGAGGCTATGCTTAAACGCTTGACAGCCTTTGAGATGTGGGTATACAGACGACTACTAAAAATAAGCTGGGTCGACAGAGTTAGAAATGAGGAGGTCCTTAGACGGCTGAACCAAACAACACAACTGGTCAATATAATAAAGAAACGCAAGCTGGAATACTTCGGTCATATTATGAGACACCCTGAAAAATATGATCTTTTACATCTGATCATTCAGGGAAAGATCCAAGGTAATCGTGGTCCTGGTAGAAGAAGAACATCATGGCTGAAAAATCTAAGGCAATGGTATGGAAAATCAACTACATTGTTATTTAGAGCTGCTGTCAATAAAGTCACGATAGCGAATATGGTAGCCAACATGATATCCAACGATCGATAACGGTCATGGAACTAGAAGAAGAAAAAGAAGATTAAGTTAATGTTGTACCATATATACCAAAACAATTTGACAGTAGTTCCTCTGGGTACCGTCACACGCTGGAATAGATAGTAACATAAAGGCAGATAGTCCAGCTAGTTCCGCACTAACCAATTCAGTCGCATCAGTCGAAAATCTAACGGTGCATTTAGATTTAAAACCTTATTTAAAAGTAAAATTGCACAATGTTTGGCAAAACCAATGGAATAGAAGCACAACTAAATTGACAGAAACAAAATCTTCCTTTCTTCCATGGAACTTCTAGCTTTGAAAGCAACAACATTAAGTCCTTATAACACGTCTCAGATTATAATACACTTCTACAATACATAAATACTTGTTGAAGAGAAAAGAGGAACCAGTGCGTTTTGTCTGTGAATGTAAAGTGACAGTGAAGAACATTTTGATTGACTGTCCAATCTACTTAGTTGAAAGATTATATTACCACATTCCAAAAACATTACAAGAACTTCTAGGAGAATCTAAATATGTAGCTGACTTGATAGAATTCTTGAAATCAATAACTTTTTTAATAAAATTTAATACAATACATTAATAATTTAAATATATATTGTATACATTATTATGTAATTGATATTTGGTTTATGCCTTAAGTCTTTATCACTTTTTGTATTTTTCTTATGCTAATAACCCTAATTGGTTGAAGCAAAATAAATAAAAAATAATACGACAATTTTTAACCTCATTATCATATCACTACAAATCCGTATCGAATAAGAACACATACTAAATTAAGAAAGCTCTTATAACGATATTGTCCAGGAAAAAAATCGCTTAAGGTAGATCGGACACATGCATAGACGCCAAGATGTCAAACTTGTAAAACTGTATGGAAGGAAGTTAGCACAGAAGAATGCCACTTAAACATCTCAATATACAATGGAGAGACAACATACAATCAAATTTTAAAAAATAAACATTTCATTTGATTGCAGATCCGTGGGAAGATCGGTCAACTTGGAGAAAAATAGTAGTTAGCGAAGACCCACCCAGTGTTGTAGCGCTACGTAATGATGATGATAAAGAGAAAGGAGAAACAGTGACAAAAATCAACAAAAATGGACTAATGGAGCAAAGCTGCTTCAAAATCTTTGACTGGAGAGGATTAAAATAAAAGTATAAGAAATGCAATGGCTGATTGATGGATTCGAGATACTTGAGGCTTGAGAAGAGCACTCTGCCGAAACAGCTGTAGTGATAAGATAGAATTAATTTTGTCGAAGTTTTAAAAATAAAGTTTTCAGTGTTTTATTGTTAAATAAAATGGCGTTTACGTACGACATTATATACGCTATAATAACTAGACAACTTATATAACACCGACATATAAGGAGAAAGTTTACTGAAACAATAAACTACTCAATATTTGTTATGAGTGGAAACGATATAAATAAACAAAATGCAGATAAAGAAACAGAAGACAACAAAGAACGTTTTAAATTGATTAATGTATTCAATTTTTAACAATGTATATTTAAAGGTCATTGTCAGAGCCAATGTGCTAAATGTATGTAAAATAAAACTGTTTAAGGTAGATATGTTACTAATACATCTAAAACTAAAAACAATCGATGTTTATATGAAAGATGAAACCGTATGACACACTACCGTGCAATGTCCAGGATCCGGTATCGTAATAAGAAGTAAAATTTCACTTCCAGGCCATTGAAATGTGTTAAATTTTACTTTAGATATTCTTTTTATGAATATAATAAGTAAACAATATATAGTAAGCTTCATCTTCTTATTGTGCCGTATTCTAATAAAGGTTGGTGATTACTTCTTTAAACACTTCACATAAATTATTATTGTATAAATTTAACTACTCTATGAAACAAATATTGCACGTCATAAACTACAGTAATTGAAAAACTATAAAGATCTGTTTTCAGAGTTCTCTTTAATCTTATGTAGTTTATTGTAATCCTACCGAAAGGCTTCTACTTTCTTCAACTATTACAAGATAACTCTACTCGATATTCGTACATTTAGAGACTAAATGTTTAAGTGCCCATGCATTAAAAAAAAATAATATATTAAATGGAAACTAACCTTTTTCAAGTTTATTATAGTTACTTTTTTAAGTTTGAAAATAATTGTAATTAATAAAGTAATTGAAAATAATAAGCTCCAAAATGTACCGGCTATAAAATTTTAAAATCTACTACTAATACTAATATTGGCAACATCGCAGGAGTTTAGAAGTGTACGCGAAAAGTTATATACGGGCCCCAAAAATGTTTTATCCTATTACAGAGTCCACTTGATCCGACGTGTTGGTCGGAGTCTACATAAAGCGCTACTTAGATAATAATATACACGGCGTATATTCTCCTGGAGTTCGTATAATACCCTTTTATTACGGAGCCTACATTAACCGCTAGAAGTATATATATATATATATATATATATATATATATATATGTAAAGAATAAATCTTTTAGCAAAAAGCTGCTATCGCTTTGTTGTATTAAATTGGTCAAATATATGGCCTAGGAGGACAAATTCGTTAAACTTTCCGTGCTCGAATCGGTATCACTAAAGTGTTATGATCATTTCGGCCTATCCCAGCCATCGTCAGACACTTGGGCTGATACAAATTCAAACACGGAAAGTAGAACGAATGTCTCCCAAAGCTTCACCACTGTAGTGGTTTGCGAGCAGAGGCGCCACCTGCTTTGGCGGCCGTGAACCAAAACGATATAATCACATCGTTTTCTACCTCTGGGCTATGCGAAATGTATAACTGAGAAATGAGTGATACCGATTCGAGCACGGGAAGTTTAACGAATTTGTCCTCCTAGGCCATATATTTGGCCAATTTAATATATATATATATATATATATATATATATATATATATATATATATATATATATATATTCAGGAATTCTACTTCGGCGTCGTCTACTTCGTTCCTCCAGAATTTTCGGGGTCGTCCTCTTTTCTTCCTTCATATAAGGCTCTATTTGGTTATTCTCTTTATCCATCTGCTGTCGCTAGTTCTTCTTACATGTCCATACCGCTTTAGTCTTTTTTGTTCTATATATGTTAGTATGTCTGTTTCTATTGATGTTCTTTGCTTTATTTCGTCATTACTTCTCCTATCTATTTTTGTTACTTTGCAGCATCTTCTCAGCATTCCATCTCTGTTGCTACTATCTTACTGCTGTTTTTCTTGTTTATAATCCAATTTTCAACTCCATAAGTCATAATACTTCGCACTAATGTTTTATAAAATCTGTGTTTTTGTCTTCATATTTAGGTGTCTATTCCACCATACTGAGTTAAGTTGTCGGATTGCTATTCTTGTTTGTCCTAATATTTGTGTAGTTTCTTCCTATGTTGTTGCCTTTTTCGTGATTATAAACTCCAAGTATTTGAATTTATCCTTTCCTTTGATTGTTACGTTGTCATCAATCTGTAGATCTTCTATGTGTTCTTCACTTGTAGATAGGTACTCTTTTTTTGCGAGGTTAATATCTAGGCCAGCCTTGGTATCTTCTTTTTGTAGTTTCTTCATTATGTAGCTGAAATCGTCTTGGTCCTGTGCAATCACTACTTGATCGTCTGCAAAACTTAACGTATATAGGTATTCCTACGCCTTCGCATTTTCTTTTCCATGTAGTCAAGGCTTTCTTTAAGTATATTTGGAGTCTAGTTGGAGTGAAACAACCCTGCAGGAGCCCTTTTGTTGTGGTGAAGTCTTCTATGATTCTTGTTCCCACTTTAATGGACACTTATTTATTTATACAGAGCTTTTGTACCTTCTGTGTTTCCGTCTGTATTTCTAATTTGTACATTGCCTCCCATAGTTTTGACTTTGATACAGAGTCATACGCCTTTCTTAGGTCTAGAAATCTTCCCATATAATCTTCCTATTAATGATATTACGCTTATTCCTCTGTAGTTTTCGCATCGTTTTCTACCTCCTTTCTTAAATATAGATGTCACATATGCATCTGTCCATTCCTTTGGGAGCTGTTCTCCATTTATGGCTTTCTGAAATATCCATTGTATCATCCGGTGTAATTTTTTTGACCAATTATCAGATAATGAATATTTTCTGACAACTTTCGTTACAGGTATAGGTTAAAGTATTAATGTGATGACACAATACTTTTAGTGTTCGTCATTATCCGCGGTTTTACGTAAACGCGGTGATCTGCGAAACGAATTAATTATTATAAAATTTTATCAATTAAATTAATCTAAAAATTTGGTAAATATGAAGTCAAATTACAAACGCAATAACAATGTTATGTTATTAAGCTTGTTATATTTCATACTATAAAAATCTTATCGTACTGAATGCATTTAAAACAAGCAAAAATAAGTATATTAGTCAACATTGACAAATTTTTATTCCTGCATAATGAAACTTATTTATAATTATATAATTAATTATATGGGATTTACCTTTTAACTGTTTAATAGCCACTTTTGTATATCCAGGATTGTTATTCAGTTCGAAAGCTTCTCCGTAGTACACGATTCCAAACGCACCTTCTCCAAGTACTCCTCTAGCAATTACCTTATTTCTTGGAAATTCATATTTATCATATTTATGTACATTCTAAAAAAGATAAATGTAAATTATACTCTATGGAAATAATATACAATAATATATCTTTTTTTATTGCGGCGTCTCTTTTCGAAGGTTGGCGATCCAGATGACAATTGTAGTTTTGGAAACTGCTGCACGAAATATTTCTGTAGATGAGCAGTCAAACCATCTCCTCAGGTCTTTCAGCCACAAGTTTTGGCGTTTTCCAACTGATCTTCTATCGTACACTTTACCTTCCAATATGATTTGGAGTAATTCATATCTTTCACCTCTTAACACATTACCCAAGTATTGGATTTTCCTCTCTTTGATTATGCTGAGTAATTCTTTTTGTTTACTCATGCGGCGAAGTAACTCACCGTTGGTAACTTTTTGTATACATGGAATTCTGAGCATCCGTCTGTATATATACATTTTAAACGTATCTATTCTTTTCTCAGCGAGATCAGCGTTCATAATGGTGAAGTCTCTTTTCAGAAGTCTCTCTCTTATTTTCTACGTTATTATACGAAGTAGAGGCCTGGACACTTTCCGAAGCTTCTTTAAGAAAACTCGATGCATTCGAGATGTGGTGTTACAGACGTATTTTAAGAATTTCATGGGTGGATCGTGTGACTAATGTTGAGGTCCTACGTAGAATAGGCAAGGAATGCGAGATTATTAACACCATCAAAGAGCGCAAACTAGAATATCTTGGCCATGTTATGAGGAATGAACAGAGATACGGCTTGTTGCAACTCATTCTCCAGGGCAAGGTATTTGGAAAGAGAGGACCAGGGAGAAGAAGAATATATTGGCTTCAAAACCTAAGAAAGTGGTTTAATACATCGACAAACAGACTATTTAGAATAGTAGCAAGCAAAGTTAGGATAGCCATGCTGATCGCCAACATCCGGAACGGATAGGCACCGTAAGTAGAAGAAGAAGAATTCTTTTCTCTGTTTCAGAGCTCTGAGCTCTACACTAAGGTCTAATCTTGTAAAACATGTTTTCATGTTCATAAGCGTTTTCCTCGCTTGTTCGATTCTTGATAGGATTTCTATTTTTGGGTTACACTGGCTGTTAATATTTGCTCTCAAACATTACTAACAAACATACTAGAGTTTTAGTTTTGAAAACATTTAGATGTAAACCAAACATTTCGCTATGATAAACTACTGCATTTATTATAATTTGTAGATCTTGTGCTTTATTTGCTTTTAGAACGGTATCGTCAGCGTACCTGATGTTGTCTATGCTGGTTCCCCTAATCTTGATTCCACCTTAAAACTCGTCTAATGATTTTCTGAATAGATAGTCCAAATACATATTATCTAAATAATAGCGGTGATAAGACTCAACCTTGTCGCAACCCTCGTCGGATTCGTTTATTTTCGGATGTTCTGTGCTCTATTTCAATTATTGCCGTTTGATGCCTACATAGTTCTGACATAATTCGCAAGTATTGTTCGTCAATTCCAGATGTTCTCAAAATTTCATGTGTCTGCACCGTTGTTGTAAAAAAGGCAAAAAGAGCTTCTCTTGTTCCCAATATATTTCTAAATCTGAATTAAGTGTCACTAATTTGAAAATCACACTTTTTGTACATTCATTTATGAATGATTCTGAGAAAAGTTTTAAGGACATAAGACATCATGCTTAATATTCGATAGTCATCGCAATGTGAGCCATCGGATTTTTTTGGTAATGTTACGAATGTTGATTTTAGACAGTCTGATGGTACCCATTTTATCTGCGTCATATATCTTGTTGAATAGTGCTGTTATCAAGTCGAGGCTTTAACTTTCGTTGTCTGCAAATAATTTTAAGTATTTCGACATTGATATTGTTTGGACCGGTGGCTTTCCCGTTCTTCTGAGCTTTTACTGCATAAATAACTTCTTTTCTTATTTTTGGACCTTTTCCATTTATTCGATCATCCGTGGATGGTGAAGAACAAGGTCTATCATCGTCAAACAATAATATATACATACAGCTTAATACTTACCATTACAAATTCCAATGGTGTATACTGACTATTTGTTACTTCTTCTTTGAGAACACTGAAAAAACGTAGGTACTCATTATATATTTTGATTTTTATGAATGTATTTAGTGTATACTTTTTAATAGGTAAAACAAAATTAAAAAAATAAGAATACTCTAATATTTATAGAAAATATATAATACACCAATATAACTGTAGCTATACATAAATGTGAAAAGAATTCCATGTATTCAGCAAATAAGATAACTTTAAAATCGAATAAAAATGAGAAGACTACAAGTAGCAAGTTATAACTAACGAAGAAAACAGTAGCGATATAAAAAAAACAAATGTAATGAAATATATTTTAAGCAAGAATATTCATCGAAACAGATATCTGCAGATATCTGTAGCCTGAAATCCGTTTGTAGGTTATGTTAAGGCCCGTTTTCACGGTACACTTTGGATGATCATCCCGGATGAATCATCCAAAGTGACTACGACGATGAAAGTAATTATCGTTTACATGTATCACCAAGACTGAACTAGTCTGTTCACTTACAAATGGCGCCGACTGAAGTTGTACGTGCTGGAATTGGTATAATAAGTGAATATCTTTTAAATGAACTTGAAAATGTACTTGAAAAACAGAAGATTAGAAAAAAACGACGTTGGTGGGTAAGGCCGTGGATACTTCGACGCTACAAAATGGGGGCGTCAACGTGTTTGTTAAAGGAATGGTCTACAGAAGATCAAGCCATGTTACAAAACCATCTAAGAATGTCTGAAGTGCAATTTGAAGAGCTACTTACCAAAGTCACACCGTTAATTCAAAAGCAAAGCACAACCATGAGAGAATCTCTTCATCCAAGACTGAAATTGCAAATTGTACTAAGATATCTTGCAGCAGGAGATTGCTTTTCAACACTCGAAGCTTTGTATCGTGTACCTAAATGCTCCATTTCCCATTTTATGCCAGAAGTATTAGCTGCTATTTACGAAATACTTGAATACTGTATCAAGGTTAGTACCTAATTAGATTCTTTCTTACATATTTAAAAAAAAAACGTATTAAAACTTTATCCAAAAGGCATTTTATTCAAAAATTAAAATCAAACATAAATTCATTGGTAATTGTGAATAGTCGAGAATGCTTCGGATAATATATCATAAGGAGCACTCTCTTCATATCTTTCCATTGTAGTAGTCGGTGTAGAAACTGACGTCTCACTGTTAGTCGAATATACTGTATACAGTGATGGAGTAGATTCCTTTGAGCGAGTCTGTTCTAAGTTGAAGAGATACATGCGCTCTTCCATCATAACCTTTTGCAGCTTTTCTTGACATATCAGGGCGCGGTCCAGAGGCATGGTTTTAAGCTGAACTGACAGGCTTCGACAAAAATGATCAAATTCGTTATCTGTGCTTGCATTCTGTGCAGCAATTGCACTTAATTTATCTATTGCTTTTTCAATAGCTGAAATTCCAGAAAAACGATGCTTTTTTGAAAATGGGGTGTTCAAATTTGCTTGGGGACTCTCTTTTCTGATTCGTTTGTTATGCTGTGCCAGTTCGCTTTCTTTAGGTAGTACTCCATCATCTGTCGGTATGACATCATTTGCTGCCGCAGGTATGATAACCTCGGTATCAGTATTATTTCCTTCATAATTGACATCTTCAGTATCTGGATTCTGTGGCGTTGGGCTCCTTTTACATTTCGGAACCTGAAACAGATACCGCATATTATCATACAAAACGAAGTTGCTCGAATTTTTACCCACTTATAATACACATACGTATACAGTTTTGTCTTTTACAGGTGCCTACCACTACTAATGAATGGACAAAAGTAATGAAGGAATATTATACCCTTTGGAACTTCCCTAATTGCTGTGGCGCTATGGACGGGAAACATATTGCTATTCGCTGTCCTGCGAAGTCGGGATCGTATTTTTTCAATTATAAACAAACGTTCAGCACTATTCTTTTTGCAATTGTGGATGCTAATTATAACTTCCTATATATTGACGTCGGTACAAATGGCAGAGCAAATGACGCATTAGTGTTTTCCAAATGTACATTTAACGAAGCTCTGGAGAACAATTTGTTAAATATACCTGAAAATGGTGTTTTTCTTGGGGACGACGCTTTTCCTCTTAGAACCTATCTTTTGAAACCTTATAGCAAGAAATCATTAACTAGGAAGGAAAGGGTATTTAATTATCGGCTATCTCGAGCTCGTCGCCTATCAGAAAATGCATTTGGCATACTTGTGTCTCGTTTTCGAGTATTCGAAAAGCCTATTCCTCTCAAAGTAGAAACAACTGAATTACTGGTGAAAGCTACTTGTGTTCTTCATAATTGGCTCAGACAAACCTCTACTTGCAAAGCACCATACGTAACTGAGGGATTGATTGATGTTGAATTATGGGAGGAAGGCAGAATTGTACCTGGAATATGGCGACAAACTACACACGACGGCCTCAGAGACATAACACTTGCTACAAGTAACAACCACAAGAAAGTTGCTGCCGCTGTACGTGATGATTATGCAGATCTGTTCTGTTCAACTGAAATTGTACCGTGGCAGTGGAAAATGATTTAAATGGCTTATTCTTGTATAATTGTTCATTTACTTAATAAAAATTGGTAACTAATTTTTCTGTGGTTTTGTTGTTTATACGTGTAAGGTAAGCAACCAAGATGAAGTGGGACATTTTACGTCTAAAACGATCAACTATATTTCAGCTATTTTAAATCGATATGGTTTTTATTTTCAACTTACTACAATACCCTACGACCCACCTAATACATATATGTACTTATAATTGCTAGTAGTATGAAAATAAAAAAATGCTATACTTACTGTACTTGCTGAGCTGCTCCTCGGTACACAAACTGCACGTAAGAATGAATCGGCTTGTTTGTACCAAAAAAGTTTGGGGACATAAACGTCATCTGGCCCTGTACCACTTTTTACGGATTGATTTACTTTAGCCAGTTCAGATGAATATCGGGTACGAATTGTTTTTATTTTTAACTTAATATCTTCCACCATCACTCCCTGAAGATTCAGCTCCTCAACGATTTCTTTTAACGCTTTTTCTCTATGGGTTTTATTTTTATATGTCTCTGCTTTAGTGTTCCAAAGACACTGTCGGTCTTTCATTAAACTCAAAATTAGAGGAGTATGGTCGTCTTTCCACTTAAAAACCATGATAGCAAGCGTACAAACACAACAACTACGCACTTCAAACGCGACAATACACAACCACGTGGACCTGTTGCCGCCGTTCACTAGTCACTACCGATGAATTACAGCAACAAATGCATGTTTACATGGTTCACTTTGGATGATTCATCCGCGATGCATCCCCTAAAGTGAACAAAAGTAGAACTCGGTTCAACTTCGTTCAATATTCATTTTGGATGATCACTGTCGATGAATAATAGTTTATACGATTCATTTATTTTTCACTTTGGATGATTCACCCGGGATGATCATCCAAAGTGTACCGTGAAAACGGGCCTTTAGACAACTATCAGATGGTCAAACAATCTGTGGCGTGACAGAATTGGTTGATTTTGCTTTTAATTTATTTGTTAATAAGTGTTAAATTTGATGTTCTGTTATGAGTGATCAGAAAATGGACTTTTATTTAGAGTAAGTACTGATAGATTTATATTTTTTGGTAGAGGTCATTCTAGAAGCCAATAATACTAAACAAATGTTTGAACTTTATAACTGAATAGCAAACATGTAGTTAACAGGCACGGTTTTGCCATATTGTAGACGTTTTTTTACCGTAGCGTTATCGTAACGCTAGCCGATTGCGGGAGCAAAATAATAAGAAAAATTATTTTTATTCTTGGCGCGGTTTCACTGTTAAAGAGGCACTAAATATGGTTTTTGATGATGATATCGACGTTAGAAAGATTTTTATAGAACCTCCAGACTCAAATGTCCTCACGGATGAAGACTCTAGTGAAGAGGATGATGGCGGAATGATTGATAATCTCAACAGACAACAACTCTCTGCTCATGTTGAAGTTAGAATTCACAACGAGGAGGAGGTAACGAAATTTTCCACACTAAATAATTTTGTATGTCACATTACGCTAGCGTTACGTTAAGGTAACGGTAGTTTTTCTCAAAATATACACCTTTTTTTTAAATTATCTATTTATTTCTGTTAAAGACCTACTTATAGTCGTCTAATGAATACTCTTTTATGGTAAAGTTCAAGAAAGCAAATTTCGCCGTTAAAGGGTTAATCCGATGTTGAGGTTACAAATAAAATCCAATCAGTTGAATATTAATCACATATCCCAAAAAACTCCAAATTATGAACTCCAATAAAAGAACAGGGCCTTATTAATATATTTTGAAAGCTAATCCTGTGGATCAAAATAACTTAACAAGTTTTACTATTAAAAATATATATCGTCACAGCCAACGTCTGAAAACCAGTCTTCTTCCACCAACATGCACCTAGACCTAAAGAATACTGATAACTTCAATTTGAATAATACGAGTACCTCCAACGCATCTTATGCAAGCACTGTCTCCTAAAATATTTACAAATATCCAAAGGCTTCAGGATTATCTACTCTAATTGGGATCTCTGGTAAAATAAAAATTAAAAATTTTTTGTAGCAGAATTTCACATAACAGAATATGTATTCATCCAACAAATGATTCAGTAGTTGATAAATCCTTAACTAAACATAGTCAAATTGTTGTAAATAATGAAATTATAAAAGGTAGATGTCTAATTCCAATAGCGGATAGACTAATAATATCAAATGTAAACTGCTGAACGATCACATATCAATATCTGGTAACCTTACTAGAAAATATTGGTCTCTCTTAAAATTAGTCTCTCCAATAAACTTTCTTAGAATAGGTGCATCAAATAATGAATACCAACACATACTTAGATTTAGGTTTATATCGCTCCTTCTTCAGATATAATCATACTCGAATACTTGGAAATACCGTATGAGAATCTATGATATCGATTTTTTTTAGCCCTAGACAATCAACGTTGCTTTACATGCAAACTATCTAGACAT